ACACAACTGAACGCAGAAGCCTCTCTGAATGGTGGCTGCTAATCAAGAAATCGATGACTCTTGTTTTGAAAAACTCGATTTTTCATATTTTTTTTCAAGAACAATCGCCCAAGTGAAACCCTAACTGAATCGTCACTCAATTTACATTTGATTACTCTTCCGATTAGGTCTTGGCTCTTAAGCAGCTATCGTTGGGTTCGATCAGTCAAAATCAGCAAAAGAATCGACATGTTGGGTGAGAACCAAAACCAACCCATAGATCGATTGCTCAACCCAACGTAAATCCTTTCTAGTGATTCAGATTTCAGAGGGTGGTGTAGCCCTGTTTTTCGGTTTTTTTTTTTTTTTTTTTTTTTGGATTTGGGTTTTTCGGGTCGGATTTTTCGGGTAATTATCGACGAAAAGTATAACTGATACCGAATTAAATTTCGGGTATTCGGGTTTCGGGTTAGAGATTGGATATAAAAATAGATACCCGAATTTTTAGTCCTCTTTATTTAATTCATTAATTATAGATGATTATTTAAATTAAATATCTCCCTATACTAATAAAATAATAGTTTTTTTTTTTATCATGTGTCATCATTTTAAACCTTTTAATTAATGTCATGTCACTTATCAATCTATTGATTTTTCATTTCAAATTTTAACTTTCTTATTTTAATTACATTAAATTAATAAAATTATAATAAAAAAGAAAATAAAATTAATACATATTATAAGGCGATATAATTTCACGCAATGTTGTTAAGATCGGGATCCTACCTACGATCGTTTTTTGGTTTCTAAGATCGGGATCGGGATCCTAGGATCCCACAAAATAAAACATATTTATAATTTATAATTTTAAAACATGAAAAATATTTCAGTCATTCAATTTTTCGTTCAAAAATTACAAAAACTTAAAAATATTAGTTATAAGTCACAACACAAAATGATAAACAGTAAATTGGTAAATTGTAAAAGAGATAAAGTGGTAAAAAAATCATTTGCAAAAAAATAATAATAATAAATTAATTAATAAGGGAAAGGTATGATCGGATCGGAGCCCGATCTTACGATCCTACCTACGATCGTACGATCCTACGATTAGGATCGCGATTTTGACAACTAAGATTTCACGTATTTATTTAAATCAACGATTATAATTTTATATAATTAAAAAAAATATCTCTTAATTAATAATTTGCTTAAAATAATTTATTTAAAATAATTAATTAATAATTTTAAGTTTTTATTATGAAAGTTTAATTAATTTTGTAACTGTAGTTTATACGAGTTATAAACTAGTTATTCATTAATTTTGTAGCAAGTTGCTTATAAATAAGGACAATATATATGTAATTTTAATACCCTATTATGTAAATACAACCAGATTATTAAGATAGCAAATTTGAAGACATTTTATAGTGCATAGTTGCACATATCAGTTCAAATAATTTGATAGAGTAAACATGAATATAAAAAACCTCTAAATTTGGATTTTCAAGCCAAACATACTAATCAAGAAATCAAGAAGGTATAACAATAACTGCTTTGTTAAGCGACAACTCAAATGTAATGTATATTTATTGTTGGTGATTTTAATTTTATGGAGTATTTTAGATAGTTAAAATTTATACCACTATGGAATGAAACTACAAACTATACTCAGGGATATTGAAGGAGGTGTTGTATTATACTTACATCCAATAGAGCAGAAAGTACAATCATTCAATACAAAGATTATAAAGTTGAAGCCATTTTATATCATCAAAATAGAGTTTGTTTGGTTCGATCAGAAGAAAAAGGAAATTGAAGAGTCATTCTTTTTTTTTTCCAAAATGTGATCTTTACTTTTACCGAGAAAGAGAAACACACGCATGGTATAAAATATAGATTATAATGTCATTTCAAAAAACACAATACGGGCATTCGGGTATACACATACCCTATACCAGACCTAATGTAATATCAGGTAAATGAATACCCGTATTTTTTAAACCCGAAACCCAATTTAGCTGACCCAAAATATCCGAATTCAGAACGGGTCGGATCGGATTTTCGGGTATCAGTTATTTTCGTCGACAGGCCTAAGGTGGTGTTTTATATTCTTCTAAAAATTGACTTTGTAAGAGTTAAGTTTTAAAAAAAAATGTTTGGATATTTAATAAGGACTTTTAAAATAGTTTTTTTATTTTGAAAATGAGATTTTGAAAAATAAACTTTTTGAAATGACTTATAAATTATTTATTTATTAACTTTTATATATATATATATATATATATATATATATATATATATATATATATA